GCAGCGAAATGTCATGAAAAATATCAATGCAAAGTAAATAAAAGTACCTTATGATGGCTAGAAAACGAGTCCTCCAGACGGCCCCAGTCCACGTTGTGGAATCCCATGGTGCGCATGCGTGTCACAGTATTGCGCGTGACGTAAGCGGAAGTCAGCTACGGCAACAAATCGGGACCAAACTTGGTACACTTTATTAAACATGTAATTCCAGGCCAGTAGACTTTAGTAATTCCAATAATTTGAATTTAGTTCATAATAAATACGCAACCTTTTCAAGAATCTTTGAAAAACTCAGTTATTTGATATACTTTACAGCACATTCAAACATACATTTTATAGTAATCAAACTCATAATGTGAATGTGATTTTTTTGATAACAGTACAATATTTAATTACCTTTTTTGTGAAATCATGTCCCACAGAAGTTAGAAACACGACAACTTTTTTGTCTTTGTCAAGTACTACATGTTTGTCACATTGTATAATAACATTTATTATGAATAATAATAATTTTAAAAAGACAAATGGTGAGCAACAGTTCATTGGACAGTATAAGACACCGTTTTTTATGTTTGTTTCTTAATGTATGTTTGTGTGTTTTATTGTTTGTTAAAACATTTTAAAATAAATTTAAAAACATGTAAAAAATAAAATTAATACAAAGTGCATTTGAGCAAGCAGTTGCCACAAGCCCTGAAAGACAAACCTAATGTTGTACTTAAAACAATTAAGTTTTCTCTAACCAGCCGTCTTGAGTTATCATTTTAATTGAAAGTACTTCATTATATTTACTCAATGGTGTTGAAAAAAGTGAAGAAATTATTTTTTTAAAGTAAATTCTACTTAATGTTATAAAGTAAAACCAACAATAGCCGCTATTCATTTTTTTGAGTGTACCTTTATAAAAATGAACAACGTGTCTTAACACTTACCGTACATTCAAAAGAGTCCTCTCTTCACGTTCCACGAGACTCCACCGTCGACTTCAGGTAAAGTATTTCCTTAAACAGATTATTTAAATGTATTTATTTTAGTCATTTAAACTCAGAAAAGAAACACAAGAAGCAAATAAATTACAAAGATGGCGCCTCGTACGGTCGACATGGCTCTTTGCTGCTCTCTTTTTCTTTTGTTTCTACTTTTTAACTGCGCATCTGGCTGTTCCTACACCCGTGAGGAACTTATGAACATCCGACCCACCGTCCCCATGGACCTATTGCCTGTTTTCTTGGCATCTGCGGCTGATTTAGTTCATGTTCTAGCCAAAAAAGTGTGGGTCCGTAAAAGGGGAAAGTGTGGAGGCCTGCTCGTGCGTCTGAGGAGGAGAGGAGCCTCTCCCCGGCATTTTTCTGTCCAACGTACGCTCACTGGGCAATAAGACGAACTCAGCCTGCTCATGAGAAGAAACAAGGACTTCATCCTGTGTCCTCTGCTTCACTGAGACCTGGTGTCCTCTGTGTCCTCTGCTTCACTGAGACCTGGTGTCCTCTGTGTCCTCTGCTTCACTGAGACCTGGTGTCCTCTGTGTCCTCTGCTTCACTGAGACCTGGTGTCCTCTGTGTCCTCTGCTTCACTGAGACCTGGTGTCCTCTGTGTCCTCTGCTTCACTGAGACCTGGTGTCCTCTGTGTCCTCTGCTTCACTGAGACCTGGTGTCCTCTGTGTCCTCTGCTTCACTGAGACCTGGTGTCCTCTGTGTCCTCTGCTTCACTGAGACCTGGTGTCCTCTGTGTCCTCTGCTTCACTGAGACCTGGTGTCCTCTGTGTCCTCTGCTTCACTGAGACCTGGTGTCCTCTGTGTCCTCTGCTTCACTGAGACCTGGTGTCCTCTGTGTCCTCTGCTTCACTGAGACCTGGTGTCCTCTGTGTCCTCTGCTTCACTGAGACCTGGTGTCCTCTGTGTCCTCTGCTTCACTGAGACCTGGTGTCCTCTGTGTCCTCTGCTTCACTGAGACCTGGTGTCCTCTGTGTCCTCTGCTTCACTGAGACCTGGTGTCCTCTGCTTCACTGAGACCTGGTGTCCTCTGTGTCCTCTGCTTCACTGAGACCTGGTGTCCTCTGTGTCCTCCATTGTGCGCTCTCAGGGAAGAGCAGAGGCGGTGGGCTGTGTTTCTACGTCTATACAAACTGGTGTAACGATGTGACAGTGATCTCCAAGCACTGCTCTCCTGCTCTGGAATATCTTTTCATTCATTGTAAACCATTTTACTCGCCTCGCGAGTTCGTTTCATTCATTCTTGCCTCTGTTTACATACCGCCATGCGCGGACGCAGAGCAAGTACTGTGTATGGAACGTTTATACCCGGACTCTCTGATTATTATCCTGGGGGATTTTAATAAGGGAAACTTGAGCCAGGAATTACCCAAATACAGACAGTTTATCAAATGCCCGACCAGAGAGGAGAACACTCTGGATCACTGCTACACCACCGTGCGCGGAGCTTTTCGCGCTGTTCCCAAGCCAGCCCTCGGCTTCTCAGATCACTCCATGATACATCTGGCTCCTGCTTACAGACAGAGACTAAAGCTCTCGAAACCTGCAGTGAGGAGCTCCAAAGTGTGGTCTGATGAAGCTGTGGAAGAGCTGCATGCATGGAATCTACAGACTGGGACCTTTTCAGAGCTGCCACAGACAGTTTGGATGAATACACGGACACTGTGACGTCATACATTCACTTCTGTGAGGATAGCATCATTCCAACAAGGACCAGGGTCATCTATAACAACGACAAACCCTGGTTCACTGCTAAACTCCGGCAGCTCAGGAAAGCAAAGGAGTCTGCTTTCAGGGAGGGGGACCGCAGCGGCTACAAAGCAGCTAAATATCAGTTCAGGAAAGAACTGAAAGCAGCCAAGTCCCGGCACAGAGAACGACTACAGGAGCAGTTCTGTAACAACGATACTGCTTCTGTCTGGAGGGGCCTACGGGAGATCACCAACTACAAACCCAAAGCCCCCCCCTGTGCTGACGAACACAAGCTAGCTGACGAACTGAACTTATTTTTCAGTCGCTTTGATGCTGCCCCTGACACCTCCCCCACCCCCCACTACTCTAACGACCCACCCATCAGCCCTGCCCCCAGCCTAACAATAGCCTCTAAAGAGATTAAACAACTCTTCTTGAGGCTGCACCCCCGCAAAGCTCCTGGCCCGGACCACGTGTCTCCGGCCACTCTGAGACACTGCGCCAGTGAACTTACTCCTGTGTTCACGGACATTTTCAACACCTCTCTGCAGTCCTGCCATGTCCTGCTTCAAATCCTCCATCATTGTCCCCGTCCCGAAGAAGCCCAGGATCACAGGACTCAATGACTACAGACCTGTAGCACTTACGTCTGTCGTCATGAAGTCATTTGAACGCCTGGTTCTCTCCCATCTCAAGTCCTTCACCTCCCCCCTCCTGGACCCCTGCAGTTCGCCTACAGAGCCAACAGATCTGTAGACGACGCCATTAACCTGGCCCTCCACCACATCCTACAGCACCTGGACTCCCCGGGGACCTACGCCAGGGTCCTGTTCGTGGACTTCAGCTCTGCCTTCAACACAATCCTGCCATCCCTGCTCCAGGACAAGCTCTCCCAGCTCAACGTGCCCGATTCCACCTGCAGGTGGATCACTGACTTCCTGACGGACAGGAAGCAGCGAGTGCGTCTGGGGAAGAATGTCTCGGACTCTCGGATTATAAATACAGGAGCCCCACAGGGCTGTGTTCTTTCTCCCCTGCTCTTCTCCCTGTACACCAACCACTGCACCTCCAACCACTGCACCTCCTCCCACTGCACCTCCAACCACTGCACCTCCTCCCACTGCACCTCCAACCACTGCACACTCCTCCCACTGCACCTCCAGCCACGACTCTGTGAAGCTGATCAAGTTCGCAGACGACACCACCCTCATTGGACTCATCTCCAACAACGATGAGTCCGCCTACAGGAGGGAGGTGGACCGGCTGGTGTCCTGGTGTCTCCTACAGGAGGGAGGTGGACCGGCTGGTGTCCTGGTGTCTCCTACAGGAGGGAGGTGTCCTGGTGTCTCCTACAGGAGGGAGGTGGACCGGCTGGTGTCCTGGTGTCTCCTACAGGAGGGAGGTGGACCGGCTGGTGTCCTGGTGTCTCCTACAGGAGGGAGGTGGACCGGCTGGTGTCCTGGTGTCTCCTACAGGAGGGAGGTGGACCGGCTGGTGTCCTGGTGTCTCCTACAGGAGGGAGGTGGACCGGCTGGTGTCCTGGTGTCTCCTACAGGAGGGAGGTGGACCGGCTGGTGTCCTGGTGTCTCCTACAGGAGGGAGGTGGACCGGCTGGTGTGTCCTGGTGTCTCCTACAGGAGGGAGGTGGACCGGCTGGTGTCCTGGTGTCTCCTACAGGAGGGAGGTGGACCGGCTGGTGTCCTGGTGTCTCCTACAGGAGGGAGGTGGACCGGCTGGTGTCCTGGTGTCTCCTACAGGAGGGAGGTGGACCGGCTGGTGTCCTGTGTCTCCTACAGGAGGGAGGTGGACCGGCTGGTGTCCTGGTGTCTCCTACAGGAGGGAGGTGGACCGGCTGGTGTCCTGGTGTCTCCTACAGGAGGGAGGTGGACCGGCTGGTGTCCTGGTGTCTCCTACAGGAGGGAGGTGGACCGGCTGGTGTCCTGGTGTCTCCTACAGGAGGGAGGTGGACCGGCTGGTGTCCTGGTGTCTCCTACAGGAGGAAGGTGGACCGGCTGGTGTCCTGGTGTCTCCTACAGGAGGGAGGTGGACCGGCTGGTGTCCTGGTGCAGTGGTAACAACCTGGAGCTGAACGCCCAGAAGACAGTGGAGATGATTGTGGACTTCAGGAAGAGCACTGTCCCCCCGCCCCCACCCTCCGTGATGGCCTCCCCCATCACCTCTGTGGAGTCCTTCCGTTTCCTGGGCACCACCATCACCCAGGACCTCAAGTGGGAGCCGACCATCAGCTCCCTCATCAAGAAGGCCCAGCAGAGGATGTACTTCCTGCGGCAGCTCAGGAAAGCCAAGCTGCAGTTCTACACGGCCATCATCGAGTCCATCCTCACCTCCTCCATCACCTCCTCCATCACCTCCTCCATTACCTCCTCCATCACCTCCTCCATCACCTCCTCCATCACCTCCTCCATCACCTCCTCCATTACCTCCTCCATCACCTCCTCCATCACCTCCTCCATCACCTCCTCCATCACCTCCTCCATCACCTCCTCCATTACCTCCTCCATCACCTCCTCCGTCACCTCCTCCATCACCTCCTCATCACCTCCTCCATCACCTCCTCCATCACCGTGTGGTTCGCTGGAGCCACAGTCAGGGACAAACAGAGACTACAGTGCATTGTGCGCTCTGCAGAGGAAGTGATCGGCCGCAGCCTTCCATCGCTGCAGGACCTGTACGTCGCCCGAGCTCGAGGCCGGGCTGGTCGTATCACAGCCGACCCCTCTCACCTGCACATGGACTATTCCAACCACTCCCCTCTCACCTGCACATGGACTATTCCAACCACTCCCCTCTCACCTGCACATGGACTATTCCAACCACTCCCCTCTCACCTGCACATGGACTATTCCAACCACTCCCCTCTCACCTGCACATGGACTATTCCAACCACTCCCCTCTCACCTGCACATGGACTATTCCAACCACTCCCCTCTCACCTGCACATGGACTATTCCAATCCACTCCCCTCTCACCTGCACATGGACTATTCCAACCACTCCCCTCTCACCTGCACATGGACTATTCCATCCACTCCCCTCTCACCTGCACATGGACTATTCCAACCACTCCCCTCAGGCAGGAGGCTGCGGTCCATCAGGACTAGAACCTCCCGCCACAAGAACAGTTTCTTCCCCTCTGCTGTTGGACTCTTGAACACTTCTTAACCTGTCCCCCCGCCCTTTATAAAGTCACTTTACTGCCCATCATACGTCACTTTACTTCACTGTACTGCTGTCACCTTACATTGTGTGCACCATGTGCACTTGTATATTGTAAATAGTAACTGTAACTCTATTTTAAATTTAAATGTATTCTTTAGAAGTGTTTTTTATTCTTATTTTTATTATCTCTTTTTGACTGTTGCACTGAGCCAAAGCAATTTCCTAGTCTGTGACCTCCTGTTACTTACGTGGCAATAAAAATGATTCTGATTCTGATTCTGACACACATGGAGAAATTTATAAAAAAAAACAAACGTTGTTCTTGTTGGTGTTAATGTAGTGATTAATAATAATGAACATTTTAATTGCAGTTTCAGTCTTCTTCTTCTTCTTCACTATATCACACATTTAATCATACATTGAGTTTGTACCAATTTTTCGTGGAATGGGTTATGATTAATGACAAACAGGAGTAATGGTTAACTAATAAGTTAATTACTTGTAAACATTAGTTTCAAGTATTTTAATTTCTTTAGTAATAGACTCTTGATGTACATTTGACTGTATTTGCTTGTTTTTTGTTTTGCAGTTTTTCTGTGTTGAAACTACAAAGCAATGTTATAATTTTAACATTTTCTCTAAAAGTAACTATCTTGGATAGTAAAACTTCCAACTGAACATTTCTGTTAATTAAACTGAGTTTGAGGGTTTTTCAACTTACAGTTTTTTTCAGTCACCATTTTACGGACATTTTCAGTACATTTCACTGACATTTTTTACAGTGTGTAAAGAGAGCATGGATCTAGAGAGTGATGATAACACCAACAGCCGTTTGTGTGTATGTATATGTTTATATATATATATATATATATGGTGCTACTTTGAACCGACAATATAACACATATTTTCAGTTGATTACCTTTTCTTTTAGGTATGTACATAATTCAGTTTTGATGCCTTCAGTGTGAATCTACAATGTTCATAGTCATGAAAAAAAATAAAAAATCCAAACTTTTGGTCTGTACTGTACATACATATATCCTTTGATGAGCACTTACACTTTCACTGAAAGTTATGCTCCCCCTCAGCCCTGATTAGCATTTGTATAGCTCACAGCATTCCCATTTACATGTTAAAGCCTCCTGTGGAGGAGGGAGGAGGGGACAACAAACTACCGTCAACAGCCGAATCCCAGAAGTTTCACAGTAATATACAGGGCCGAAAAGAGACGAAAATCACACTTTTCATGCAGTGGTAGAGTAGAGTAGAGTAGGGTAGAGTAGAGTAGAGTAGAGTAGAGTAGAGTAGAGTAGACTAGAGTAGAGTAGGGTAGGCTAGAGTAGAGTAGACTAGAGTAGGGTAGGGTAGGGTAGAGTAGAGTAGGGTAGACTAGAGTGAACTAGAGTAGAGTAGGGTAGGGTAGAGTAGAGTAGACTAGAGTAGGGTAGGGTAGAGTAGGGTAGGGTACAAACACACACACACTCTCACACAGACACACACCCACTCACACAGACACACACACACTCTCACACAGACACACACCCACTCACACAGACACACACACACTCTCACACAGACACACAGACACACACACTCTCACACAGACACACGCACACACACACACGCACACACACACACACACACACACACAGGGACGACTCCACATGTTGTGTCTCCTTCTGCTCTGAGCGTCTGCAGTGAACTGTGATCCACTGAACTTTCTCCTCGTCGGAGGGTTTGCCGCAGGTGCTGCATAATCGGCTGTAATCTGTGATCTGCGGCGGCGGCTTTGTCTCGCAGCGAGTTGTGTTTTCTCAAATCCACTTTCACCAAAACACTCTGCAGCTGTGGCTCTGGTCCAGGAGAGACACAAAGACCAGCCTCACTCAGACTAAACACACACAACACACACCGAGACACAAGAACAAGAAGGCCGTGTTCTGAATGTGTCTCTCAAACATGACTCCGTGTTCTGCTGTTTCCACCGTGTGATGTCACATGTTTCACGGACAACATCTGATTTTATAGTTTCTCTAAAGTAGCTTTAAGCCGGGGTTTAGTTACAGAGAAGAGGAGACTCTAACTGAACCTGGCACCATAGAGAGACCAGAGAGAGACCAGAGAGAGACCAGAGAGAGACCAGAGAGAGACCAGAGAGAGACCAGAGAGAGACCAGAGAGAGACCAGAGAGAGACCAGAGAGAGACCAGAGAGAGACCAGAGAGAGACCAGAGAGAGACCAGAGAGAGACCAGAGAGAGACCAGAGAGAGAGACCAAAGAGAGACCAGAGAGAGACCAAAGAGAGACCAAAGAGAGACCAGAGAGAGAGACCAGAGAGACCAGAGAGAGACCAGAGAGAGAGACCAGAGAGAGACCAGAGATCTCCATAATGATGATGATGACCAGGGTCCTGTTCGTGGACTTCAGCTCTGCCTTCAACACAATCCTGCCATCCCTGCTCCAGGACAAGCTCTCCCAGCTCAACGTGCCCGATTCCACCTGCAGGTGGATCACTGACTTCCTGACGGACAGGAAGCAGCGAGTGCGTCTGGGGAAGAATGTCTCGGACTCTCGGATTATAAATACAGGAGCCCCACAGGGCTGTGTTCTTTCTCCCCTGCTCTTCTCCCTGTACACCAACCACTGCACCTCCTCTGCACCTCCTCCCACTGCACCTCCTCCCACTGCACCTCCAACCACTGCACCTCCTCCCACTGCACCTCCTCCCACTGCACCTCCTCCCACTGCACCTCCAACCACTGCACCTCCTCCCACTGCACCTCCTCCCACTGCACCTCCTCCCACTGCACCTCCAACCACTGCACCTCCTCCCACTGCACCTCCAGCCACGACTCCGTGAAGCTGATTAAGTTCGCGGACGACACCACCCTCATTGGACTCATCTCCAACAACGATGAGTCCGCCTACAGGAGGGAGGTGGACCGGCTGGTGTCCTGGTGTCTCCTACAGGAGGGAGGTGGACCGGCTGGTGTCCTGGTGTCTCCTACAGGAGGGAGGTGGACCGGCTGGTGTCCTGGTGTCTCCTACAGGAGGGAGGTGGACCGGCTGGTGTCCTGGTGTCTCCTACAGGAGGAGGTGGACCGGCTGGTGTCCTGGTGCAGTGGTAACAACCTGGAGCTGAACGCCCAGAAGACAGTGGAGATGATTGTGGACTTCAGGAAGAGCACTGTCCCCCCACCCCCACCCTCCGTGATGGACTCCCCCATCACCTCCTGCATCACCTCCTCCATCACCTCCTCCATCACCTCTGTGGAGTCCTTCCGTTTCCTGGGCACCACCATCACCCAGGACCTCAAGTGGGAGCCGACCATCAGCTCCTCATCAAGAAGGCCCAGCAGAGGATGTACTTCCTGCGGCAGCTCAGGAAAGCCAAGCTGCCTGCACAGATGTTGGTGCAGTTCTACACGGCCATCATCGAGTCCATCCTCACCTCCTCCATCACCTCCTCCATCACCTCCTCCATCACCTCCTCCATCACCTCCTCCATCACCTCCTCCATCACCTCCTCATCACCTCCTCCATCACCTCCTCCATCACCTCCTCCATCACCTCCTCCACCACCTCCTCCATCACCTCCTCCATCACCTCCTCCATCACCTCCTCATCACCTCCTCCATCACCTCCTCCATCACCTCCTCCATCACCTCCTCATCACCTCCTCATCACCTCCTCCATCACCTCCTCCATCACCTCCTCCATCACCTCCTCCATCACCTCCTCCAGCACCTCCTCCATCACCTCCTCCATCACCTCCTCCATCACCTCCTCCATCACCGTGTGGTTCGCTGGAAACTGTTCCAGCCTCTCCTCTCTCACCTGCACATGGACTATTCCAACCACTCCCCTTGGGCAGGAGACCATGGTCCATCAAGACCAGAACCTTCCCCCTCTGCTGTTGGACTCTTAAACACTTAAACCACATGTGTCAAAGTCAAGGCCCGCGGGCCAAATCCGGCCCGCGAATGAATTATCTATGGCCCCCGGGACATTGCCTGCCATTGAGGCAATGTATTGACCCCTTAAGCTCGCTAGCCCCCGCCAGCGGGAGCAAACGATACAAAATACATCTGCTGGCAATAGCAGATGTATTTTGAACTTCATAAAGCTTATTTTCTCAGCTATATTTATATGTAAGTGTAAACGATATCAGACTTTGCATTAAAAAGATATAACGCATAATATGGGCACAAAATAAATCAGGTCTGTATTCGTTTTTTACATTTTGTCTTCTGCTGCTCCAACAAATTAGACTTTCCCCATCCTTGCTTAGTCTCTTTCTCTCCGTAACTGTTCATATCCACTTGTATTTCCCAAAGTATAATCCATTCTGCAGATTTAATCAAAAAAACGCCCTGAAAAGAGGTCCAGACTGCTCTTTTACATTTCACCAAGTTTGAGCTTTTTTTTTGTTTTACTATTTTCATGTTCTCAGATGTCTATTACATCTAATGTGTACAGTATGAGGATTGGCTTTAGAGCATATTTTATCGTGCCAGCAGGTGTCACCGGCACTGCCTCTGGATGTTGAGAAACATTGAACCAGTTCGGCCCTCGGCGCTTAGCAAAAATTTTTTTTGGCACTCTGATGTATTTGACTTTGACATGCCTGACTTAAACTGTCCCCCCGCCCTTTATAAAGTCCCCTTACTGTCCCTTATCAAGTCACTTTACTGCTGTCACCTTATTGCACTGCCTTCTGCACATGTGTGCACCATGTGCACTTGTATATTGTATACAGTATTTGTAATCATAATAGTTTTATTCAATTTTAGATTTTATACCTTAGAAGTATATGCTTATTTTCATTATGCCTTACTCTATTCTCTATTCTTTACCTCGCTTTCTGACTGATGCACCGAGCCAAAGCAATTTCCTAGTCTGTAACTTCCTGTTTCTTACATGGCAATAAAATGATTCTGATTCTGATGTTGAGTTCAAGGTTTTTGTCTCCACACCAGTCCTTCAGGGGGTCTTTCTCTAGATGACAGGAACTCGTCATCACCAGAGATTATACGGCTGCTGTGGCTTCTGCAAACTTTACAGTAACTATGTAACTCAGATGTAGAGGTGCAGTTGTGGGTAAAGTGCTTAGAGCAAAGGGCTCAGTACACACCCCTGGGGTGCACCTGTGTGGAGAGGGCGAGGCCCACCTTTAGTGAGGAAGTCCTGGACCCACTGGCAGATGGGAAGGTGTGGCCCGACCTACTGGAGTTTGGTGGCCAGCCTCACCGTGTGTGTGTCTCCTCAGGGTTGCCGGTCCTCATTATGTGTGTGTGTGTCTGTGTGCGTGTCTCCTCAGGGTTGCCGGTCCTCATTGTGTGTGTGTGTGTGTGTGTCTCCTCAGGGTGCCGGTCCTCATTATGTGTGTGTGTGTCTGTGTGCGTGTCTCCTCAGGGTTGCCGGTCCTCATTGTGTGTGTGTGTGTGTGTGTGTGTCTCCTCAGGGTTGCCGGTCCTCATTGTGTGTGTGTGTGGCTCCTCAGGGTTGCCGGTCCTCATTGTGTGTGTGTGTGTGTGTGTCTCCTCAGGGTTGCCGGTCCTCATCGTAGGTGTGACTCTGGTCGTGTCGGTGGATGAGTACAGAGCTGAGGAACACTGTTGGCTCAACGTAAAGAACGACACCATTTGGGCCTTTGTCGGACCTGTGGTGTTTGTGCTGGCGGTAAGTGTGTGTGTGTGTGTGTACGTGCGAATGTGCCTCAGCCCACCCTAACCAATCACCAAGGACCCCACCACCTCCACTCCCCCACACCCAAAAAGTATACATCACCAAAAACCACAGACTCTCCATCCTCCTCCCCCGCCTTCCCCTTCTCCTCTTTTCTCTAAACACTAGGATGCACAGGGTCTCTGCTTCGCAGCCACTGGCAGTCTAGTTAGAGGAGAGACCCGGCTGGGGCCCTGTCATGAAGCCACCTGTGCCATTCCCTTAGTGATAACACAAAGAATACATTACAGAAAGACATCTGGAGTTAATCAGTCTAATCTGGAAAATCTAATTCTTGTTCCGTGTAAGAATCAGCCGACCACAACCGCTGATCCTGAAACTTTGAAACTTGCTACGCTTAATGTCAGATCTCTTTGTAACAAGTCTTTTAAGATAAGATAAGATGTGCTTTATTTATCTCACAGAGGAGAAATGTACATGTCACATTTGGCATGGATAGAGACACTCAGATTGTGCAAAAGGAGGAAATGTGCAAACATGTTACATGCAGGATATATATGTACTATAAAGTGACAATAATTATGTGAATTATGTTAATCAATAATTTTATTTGTTCTCATAATCTTGATCTTATGTTCATGGCTGAAACTTGGCTTGACCAAAACTCAGGAAATGCAGTTTTAATAGAAGCATCACCACCAAATTTCAAATTTTATCTGAAATATGTGAAAACAGAAAAGGAGGAGGCTTAGCTGCAGTTTTCAGAGACCACTTTGTCTCCCATAGAATGTCTCTATTTGTCTTTTAGAATAGAACAAACACCATTCTCCTCCAATACTCTTCATGGTCCTGCACCAGCACCGCTGTGATGTCACAGTTTATGGATCATTTCACAAAGTCACTTTCAGCTGTGCTCAGACTTTAATATTTTAGTTCCATGTGATTGTG